ATTTAAGATCACTGTAGTATGTAAAAAAATTAAAAAATTTAGAAGATGAAAGGCACTGAAGAATAAAAAGATAAAAGTGAAGGACAGAACAAGTAACATCATTTTACATAAGAACTACGGGAAAAAGGAGGCTATCAATAATAATGTAAGTGCCCATCCTTATCAGTGACTAAATGAGCATGATTTCTAAATCTGAAAAATATAAGCATTTCTCAAAATACAAAACTCATATATATAAAAATATTTTTTCATAGAAATTCTCATGAAAATGCATAATTAAAAAAGATACCACTTATATTTAAAATTATATTACATTAAATTACATATATATAGTATTTAAAATTTTGCCAAACATTTTATTCATGTTCACATCCTCACTTTGCATAACAAATAAATGGAAATTTCTCATTACATTCATGGACAAACATAAAATGAATTAACTACGATTTCTCAGTTTGAAATCTTTTATAGTGGCATAAGCATAATATCCTTCTAGATTTTAAGGGATTATTAGGTAAAAAGATAAAGTTTTGTTAGCCACATTTAATTAAATGCCAATTTTTTTAAACCACCTAAAATTTAGATGTTTTCCAGAAGAGTCAAAGTAAGATTCATCAAACAAGAACTGTCTTCAGTTTTGTAATAATATTTCCTTGCTTAAGGTCCCTTGGTGGTGAAAAAGGTCTGCAGTCGACCGCTAACCTAAAGTTTGACATTTTGAACTCACCCAGTGGTGAAGCAGAAGAAAGGCCTGGGGATTTACTTCCATTAAGATTACAGCCAAGAAAACTCTATGGCATGGGGTTGCCATGCATTGGAATCGACTTGACAGTAATTAACAACAACACATGCATATAGATTTTTTTCAAAATTTTAACCATCACGTACGTGTCATAAACCTGGAACATATGTTCTCTGACGTGTTTATTTCCAGGCTGTGTTGACGCAGGCTAGCAATACAGACAGTCACACAAGGTGTGTCCAGGCATAGCACCATCAGAAACAGACATACCCTGGTTCGTATGGTACCTGAAATATTTGTGTTTCCACCCTGTGCCGATGTGGGCTAGCAAACACAGCCACACTGTGTATTTCCAGGAGTGTCACCATCAGTTATGGATTATGTTGTGTCCTATAAAAAGATAGGTTGAAATCCTAATCCCTGTACTGGTGAATGTGACCTTGTTTGGAAACACGGTTTTTCTCTCAAGACATTATCAATTAACCAGATGATACTGGAGTAGGGTGGGTCCTAATCCCTTGTGAGTGGTGTCTTAGAAAAGGGGAAACAGACACGAAACAGATTCACACACAGGGAGAATGACAGACATCATATGAATATACATCAACAAGGAACACCAAGAAACACCGAGGGTTACCAGAAACCAGGAGAGAGGCGTGAACAATTCCCCTCTCAGAAGGAATCAACATGGCCGGTACCCTTTTGACTTACTGTCTCCAGAACTGTGAGACAATAAACTTGTCTTTAACGCCACCCATTTTGTGGCATTTTGTTATGCCAGCCCTTGAAAACTAAGACATCAACATATACTTATGTGCTGGGACCATACCTCACTCACCCATCGTTAATATCTAGTTTACAGGAAATATGGGGGTAGGGTTAGCAGTAAAACAGCCTCAGAGAGATACAAAAAGACAAATCTAGAATGTTGAAAAGTTTAGGGACAAATGACTCAGCAAATTCAAATAAAAAGAGGAAAGTGATACCTAAGTTACTTAGGGACACAACCACTGCAATGCAGTGAATTGCTTTAATATGGCCCTTCTAGCCATGGTCTTGTGACTACCACAAAATGATTGAGTGGGACTATGCAAATAAGGTGCCTTTGGCCTACCAAGGGGATTGGACAGTTTTTCTAATGCAAATTAAGGTGCATGCAATCCTTATAGGGGTGGAACAATGCAAATAAGGTGCATGGAACCCTTGTATGTGATTGGTTAGTGTAAAAATGGTGTGACAGCAGCATCTGACCTCCTAACTTCACAAGGGGGTAGAAAAATCAAGATCAACAGCCCAAGGCTCATTTCTATGAGGCAGAGGTCAGACATGTCTCCTTTCTCCACCATTTTTACCAATTCTGATACCAACCATCCCTCCCATGGCACTCTACTTCTCTGCTGGGTTTGATAATTCATTGCAATGGCCACACTGAACTCAAAGACAATACTCATGATTATGGGGTTTATTAGGAAAGTAACAAGTTACAGTTCAGGTTCAGGAATGCTCAGAATATGGTTGTTCCATCAGGACAGCCTCTTCTCAGCTGTGCCTGCAGACACTCCTCTCTGGCCCCTTGCCTCTGCCCTGCTCAGTTAAGTACTACAAAGCTCTTTCACCTCTGCCTATAGGTGCCCAAAGGCAACCCACTCCACCAGTAAGCCCAAAGGGGCTCAGCTGTAGCTCCTTGGGTCAGCAAACGTACCTCCTCCAAGTGTCTGGAGGCACCCTACTCTGCCAGCAAGCCTCCTGCCTGAAGGCACTCAGCTTTCTCTGTGGGCTGGGAATGCCACCATGCTGTCTCCTGCTGGTCTCTCCTGCTGCCATTTCTCTGCCACCACGTTTTGCTGTCTCCAGTATTACAGCTGTCTCCTGGTTCCAGGAGCTTCTCAGCACAAGGATGCTGGTCCAAAGGACATGCTCTGCTCCTGGTTTTTCTTCCTTAGTGGTGATGAGATCCTCTCTCTGCTCTAGAATTTGCTCTTTTAAGCCTAGCAGGATAGCAAAACTGACCGATCCCCTTGGTGGGCCACAATTACCTTATTTGCACAGTCCCACTCATCACTTGGGTGGGAGTTACAAGATCAAGGCAAGAAAGACCACAAAAAAGCAATCCATCACACCACGGTCAGTTTTGTCATCCTGCCCGATTGTTAAAGAGAGCCAATCCCAGAAGTTAGGAGGGGACCTCACTACCACCAAGAAGAGCCAGGAGTGGGGCATGTCCTTTGGACCCAGGGTCCCTGCACTGAGCACCTCCTAGACCCAGGAGACAGAGAGAGCTGTTAACACTGAAGATGGCATGTGATGGCAGTGGCATGGTCCAGCAGGCTAAGATTGCTGACCCACGGAGTAAGAGAGATGAGTGCCTTCAGGCAGGAGGCTTCCTGGCAGAGTAGGGTGTCTCTGGGCACTTACTGGTAGAGCTAAAGAGCTTTGTAACTCTTTCCCAAGCAAAGCAGAAGCTAGGCCAAGAGCTGGAAGAGAGGTCTTCCTGCGGGCATGGCTGAGAACTGTATCCTGTCATTCCTGATCCTGAATTGTAAGCTGGTATTTCCCTAACAATCCCCATAAACCTGAGTATGGTCTATGAGTTCTATGTGGACACTGCAATGAATTATCAAGCCCAGTAGAGAAGCAGAGTGTGCCATGGGAGGGATGACTGGTGTCAGAAATGGTAGAAAGGTCAGAGAGTAGAAGCATGTCTGACCTCCACCTCATAGGAATCAGCCTTGGGCTGATGCTGATCTTCATTCTCCTCTCTGCTTCTGAAGTGTGAGGTCTATTGCCTTGCCATTTTTACAACCACTAAGTCAAACACAAACATTTTAGAACCTGTTATAGATTGGATTGTGTCCCTGCAAAATATGTGTTGGAATCCTAACCCCTATACCTGTTGATGGAATCCTATTTGGGAATAGCGTTTTCCATGTTATGTTAATGAGGTCTCATCAGTGTAGGGTGTGTCCTAAACCTAATCACAGCTGAGTTATAAAAATAGTGGATTAGATACAGAAGCAAGCACAAAGGAAGGCAGATGCCCTGTGAACATCACCAAGGAACACTAGAACTGCAGAAGCTGGTAAGAGACGAGGATCTTCTCCCAGAGGCAACAGAGCCTTGCCCTTGAGCTGGTGCCCTGATTTTGGACTTCTAGCCTCCTGTGAGATAATAAATTTCTGTTCTTTAAAGCCATACAACTGTGGTATTTCTGTTACAGTGACACTAGGAAATTAAGACAGAACCTGATTGCATCGAATGTGCCTAAAACAATACATACATTTTTGGCACAATAACAACATACTTTTGACACTTAAAGTATTTTTGTTGGGCAGTTACTGAGTTTTGAAAGAGTCCTACAGCTGGAAATGGACTCTGAGAGATTGTGCACTAAGACACAAGATGTCAAAATTATCTGTAAAACAACTCAATAATGTGCTTAGAAACAAACGAAACAATGGTCACAAAATAAATAATGATGCAACATTGGGGAAAGGCTCATGGGGCTTTGTAGTAGTTCTTTCCATTTGTGTATATATTTGAAAACATCTATTACAAGAGGTAGAAAATGTCCTTGTATCAATGATTTGTATTTTAAGAAGGACAGATTAAAAAGGGCAGAAGGAATCTTTTGGTCTCAGGTGTTTAAGTATGTATCAAATTGTACACCTGCCTACTGAATTCTGGACTTCAGGGCACAGGGATCTTTTGTAGGGCCTGGGGAAATGCTTCTCCTTAGCAGGGGGACAGACATCCCTTGGGAACAAGGTGAGAAATCCATGCTGTTCCCAGAAACACTGTAGTTGTCACAACTGTCCTAATTCACGTAACCTCTGGTCTCACAAAAATTTCAGGCATCCAGATCACAAATTAACACCAAAATCCCCTACACGCCTAGGAGACTGTGGTCAGAAAGGCATATTAGGTCAAACCTGAGGGAGAGCTACTCTGCCATCATACTGTCTCCTCTGAGGCACAGAGTTGTGGGACCCACAAAATCTGTTCAACCCTACATGGTCTTGGAGACCATGTGTGTTGAGTACAACTGTTCTCCATAGGGTTTTCAAGGCTCATTTTTTGGAAGTAGATTGCCAGGCCTTTCTTCCAAGGTATATCTGGGTAAATTTGAACCTCCAACCTTTCAGCCAGCAGCTGAGCATTAAATGTTTGCACTACCCAGGGACTCCTCCCCTTCACAGTTGTTGGGTGCCATCAATTACGATTCATGGCGACCCTACGTATCAGAGTAGAACTCCCCAGTGGTTTTTCTAGGCAGTAATCTTTACAGGTGCAGACTGCCGAGTCTTTCTCTCGCAGAGTGGATGGGTGAGTTCAAACTGCCAACCTTCCAGTTAGCAGCCAAGCATTTAACTATTGCCCCAGCCTAAATCTGTTTTAAACCAACTGCACACTGTGAACAGCACCCCAAAGATGAATGATGGCTTAAACAATAAGGCCTTTATTATTGCATAAACTAGAGGAATGTGAGGTAGGTAATTATTGGCTGACTCGAGAGGCTAGAAAAATCCATCATGAGTATCACAAGACCAGTGTCATGAAGAAGGTAAACCTTCTCTGCCGGCTGCCAGCAGAACCAACACAAGTTCCTCTTTGCCAAAACTGGTTGCAGTCTAGACCCTTAACAGTCAGAGAACAGAATGAAGCTCCCCTAAACTCTCAGACTACTCATGATTTACTCCAGGGAATGGGAGAAAGTCAGCAGACAGGCCTTGCCTGAGCTTGTTGGGATGACAGATGAATACTGTGGGGACCTCCCAGGTGGTATACATGAGACGGCTTCTCTCACAGAAACTGGCAGTGACATCATTCTGGCAAGAAAGCAAGCAACATAGCTCCTGACAGCTTCACAAACCCCTGGAATCATCGGTAATTTTGCCACTCTGGAATTCGGAAGTTTGAGGTTCAAATTTAGGCAGATGGTTCCCTCATAAAACTGCCCTGTTGTTGTTACATGCCACTGAGTTGATTCCAGCTCATAGTGATCCCATGTGACAGAGTAGAATCGGCCCAAAGGGCTTTCTAGGCTGTAATCTTTACAGGAGCGGATCACTAGGTCCTTCTCTTGTGGAGCTGCTGGGCGGATTCAAACTGCCAGTTTTCAGTTAGCAGCAAAGCACTTCACCATGGTGCCACCAGGGCTCCTTAAAGCCTCTCTAGGAAAGTCTTATTCAACAGACAGCACATTCTTTGCAGGTCTAAGGCCCTTCTCTTGTATGGACATGCTGGTGCTAAAGGTGTTCAGACATTCATTGATTTCATGACACTTTTCCCTGGTGCAAAATTTTCAGAATTGACTCAGGCTGGAGTTTTGGCTACAGGATTTTCCAGAAATCCTTATTCAAGTGTGAATTCTCCAATGTTTAGTAAGGCCAGAGTGTTGGCTAAATGATTTCCCACATTCACTGCACTTACAAGGCCTTTCTCCAGTGTGAACTCTCTTGTGCACATTAAGCTGAGAGCGACTGCTAAAGAATTTCCCACATTCACTGCACTCATAAGGCCTTTCTCCAGTGTGAATTCTTTTGTGTACAATAAGGTGGGAGCTTCTGCTGTAGGCTTTTCCACATATGTTGCACTCATAAGGCCTTTCTCCAGTGTGAACTCTTTGGTGAAGAAAGAGGCTGGAACTATGGCTAAATGATTTTCCACATTCTGCACACTGATAAGGCTTTGCTCCTGTGTGAAGTCTCTGGTGGTCAGTCAGCCCAGAACGTTGCCTAAAGGTTTTCCCACATTCAGTGCATTCATAAGGCCTTTCTCCAGTGTGAATTCTCCGGTGTTTAATGAGAATGGAGCTTTCGCTAAAGGACTTCCCACATTCACTGCACTCATAAGGCTTTACTCTTGTATGACGTTTCTGGTGTTGCGTGAGGTTAAATTTGCGGGTAAAGGCTTTTCCACATTCACTGCACTCAAAAGGCCTTTCGACAGTGTGAACTCTCCGATGTCTGCTAAGGGAGGAGTGGTGGCTAAAGGACTTCCCACATTCATCACACTCATACAGCCTTTCTGCAGGGCAGTCGCTCTGGTGGTGATCAAGCGTATGTTTGTGGCTTGAAGCTTTCCTGTATTCTCTCCACTTGTAATGACTCTGTCTATTGTGAAAGGCCTCCCCACACTTGGTGCTGCTTCGTGGCTTCTCACTGTTAGGCATGGCCTGGTGCTGGAGAAGTCCAGACGAGATCAGGGAGTCCGTTTCAACCTCCCCATGGGTGAAGGGCTGCCCTGATACTTGGAATCTGTAGCTCTTCATAAACAAGGCCCTGTCCACATCCCGTCTGAAAGGTTTCTCTCCACTGTGCTTTTTCTGGTACTGGGTAACATTTGTACTGAGCCAGAAGGCTCTCACACACTCCCTATCCAAGTAGGGATTCTGTCCAGTGTTTATTGCTTTGTGCTCAGCCAGATACAAAATGTCATTCAAGACTGAAACACACCTCTCACAGGTGTGAGTCTTCTGGGTGCATGGACCTGCCTGTGGAGTCCTAACCTGTGATACTCCTTCTACAGAAACACTCTGCTCAGAAAACGCCTCCTCCTCCTCTGTTTCATGGCAACAACCTGAAAGCAGAGAAATGTTGATGAAATGTATGTTGACATCGGTAGAAGGAAGTCCTACCCAAAACGTGTGTCAGATACAAAGAGGAAAGAGTCCATAAGATTGTTTTGAGGATGAGGGATCTGAAGGTGTGTTCAGGAAGGGGCTTCTTGCTATACTGGTCATTTAATTATCACAGAATGAGGGATATCTCATCAAATGAAGGACAGGACAAAGGGGTACAGCATGGGGAGAAGAAGCAGGGTCTCCATCTCACTCCTCTGCCATCAGCCTTCAAAAGGACCTTGTCGGGTGGTAATATGTGCTGCTGTGAGGAAGACTGGTTGTTTCCAAGCCCAGGAAAATCTGGAATTGGTTAGGTGGCATCTTAGAACTATTTAAGGCTATGTGTACACTTCACAACACATCATGCTTGCATCAATGTTTTAGAACATTGCACAGGGAGTAGTGGAGAGGAACAGGTAGCAGGTGGCCAGAAAGGTGGGACAGCCAGAGGCCGGAAGTCACAATTCAAATGACAAAGAAGCAAAGTGTCAAGTATGGGGAAGAAAAAGTACAAATGAGGCGTGGCCAGTGGCATTTGCACCAATGGTGGTGGACAAAGGACAGACTTCTGGTGTGAGTTAAACACAGCCCTGCTGTCATGCCCTCCCCCAGAAGTGGCTCAGCAGGGGCAGGCCTCTTCTAGACCATCTTGCCATGTCCACCCTGAGAAGCCACCAGGACTCTCCTTGAACCCCGTCCTCACGATGGGACTTGCATGAAGCAAATCCTAAAGGAAAGACAGGACAGTTGAGTAGACACCACTGTCCCAGAGAAAATCAGCATACAACAAACCACAGGACAGAAAATTAATATTAGGAAAAAAAAACCTTGAAGGAGCTAGGGGAAGGGGAATAGCCTGGGGCACAGAGGTGGTGTGGATGTGGACACATCACCCAGTTAAGGAGAGGACAAGCAAGGTGAGATCCATTGGGCTTCCAGACTCTTCTCTGCACGCTCTCAGGCAGCAAGTGGTGGGGCTGCTCAGGGAGTGCATTGCTCAGGGCAGCGCACACGGTCAGCCCTGACCCCACAGCACACATGCCAGGAAAGGGGGGAAGGTAGCAGAGGCCATGGTCTGGCTGTGGAAGGACAGAGCTGTCTTTGGGAAGAAAAGCAAAAGCAGAGACCAACTTGGGACACTGGGGTGGGTGTGATGGTCTTACCCAGGGAGTCTATGATTGCAAAGTTCTCCAGCATCACATCTTGGTACAGCAGCCTCTGAGCCTCATCAAGGAGTCCCCACTCCTCCTGGGAGAAGTTAACGGCCACATCCTCAAAGATGACACAGCCCTGCCATGATGGGGACAATAGTTCATTCCATGATTAGCTTGTCTCCTATGACTCCACATATCTCCCACATATCGATCCCCTGCTCACCTTCCTCCCCAGCCCCCAGATCAGAGGAGATACTAGGCGCTGGTGCCACTGACGCCCACTCTCTCCTCATGATCCCACTGGTCACTGTGTCAGTCCACGGTACCAAGAGGCAGGTGGGCAGACAGATGAGGTCTAAGCTCTGGGCCTCATATCAGGGACACATATGCACCCTCTTGGCAGGCAGTTCCCTGGGGTCTCCCAGATTGTGTCTCCCGGACACAACAAAATATGCGCTCACTTTTCACCCATAGGTCTCCAACCCAGCAGTTCCCCAACACAGCGCCCAAGGGCCATCAGTTCACACTCTTCTCCACAGTATACCTCTCTTTGTCCCACACTCTCTCCTACACTGCACTCCCACAGTCTCCTCCCCTCCCTGCCCCACACCATAGCATCTCCCTGATCTCCCCACGTTTACAGCACATGGCATCCAGAGAGAGCTTGTCACATTCTAAGAGGATCCAGATCTACTCCAGACCTCTGATTATCTCCACAACCAGGGGCAGCCCTGAGTCCTGCTGTGAAGGCCTCCCTGCCTGCCTCTGTTTCTGTCTTTAACCTCAGTCCACCGAACACACGGGATGATCAAGGATACTCATGGTCCTCCTCCACTTGCACTCCATTTCTTCTCTCCCCCTAAGCCTTCTTCAAAGGCAAGCCCTAATGATTCTCCACCCCAAACCCAGTGACTCTACAACTGACCATTTGTGCCCCTGAGCTAACCTACCAGCCTGACTGAAACATCTGACACCACCAATGATCACCACAAAATCCTGGTGAGTCTACAGAGCAGTGACTAAGTTCCATCTGTGAACCTACTGTCATAACGTCTCAATTATTTCTATGCCTCCACATCTGTCTCAAGTACTCACTCCTTGGAAGTCTTGGTCACCTGCCAGATCATTCTCTCTCCCACTATCTTCCCATGGACACTTCTCTCCCTCAACTGTGTTTATGATGCACATCAACCCAAACCAAGCATCCAAGCAAGAAACCCAGTTCTCAGTCCCCACTGTCTGCTTCCTATCTAGCTATTAAAATAACCATCATGACCAGGGTCCCCACTACTAAACGTGATCCCCAGCTCCACCCTGGTTCACACACTGTCTGCCAGCTTTTAGAAATGTCTCCATCCTGAATTCCTCCCCCAGATTTCAGACCTACATGTCCAGCTACCCACTTTATGTTTCCACTCATTTGTTCTCTGAAACATTTCAGACTCTTAACGTGGATAAAACTAAACTCCCAAGATCTGCGTTGAAAATTACTCCTACTACTGATACCCCACCTAAGTCAACAGATTTTCCATCCTTCCAGCTGTTGAAACTAAAAACCTTGGAGTTATCCCTACTTCTATCTTTCTCTCTGTCTAATCAAAACTCAGAAAATCAGGGCAGACAAACTTAAAAGACAGACCCAGAATCCAACCCACTTCTCCCACTCCACAGCCATCACACTGGTCCAACCACCGTCAACACACACCTGGACTACAGTAGGTTCTCCATGCTGCAGCCACAGGGAGCCTGCTGAGACCTAGGTCAGATCACCTCCCTGCCTGCTCCAACCCTCCCACTGCTCCCATCAGCTGCAGAATAGATGCCCAACTTCTCAGAAGACATTCCAAGCCTGGAGTGTGTTCAGGGTCCCCAGACTAGAGGTCTAGAAGAATGGGAAGTAAAGAGTCCCACACAGGGCACCACAATCCCAGAGACCATATGGGTAGGGTCAGGACCAGTAAGGCCCTGGGACACCCTCCACTCAACTGTGTAGGGTCCATAAGTGCTTCTGTAGCCCTGGGTAGCAGTGGAAAGTGGGAGATGTGAGAGAGAGGTGACTATAGGCTCTGGCCTCCCTGTCCAGCCCTGGAGCCAGGTGACCTCGGGATCACTGCATTACTTCTACTCCTCAGTCCTCAGTGCTGTTCTTACCAGCTGTATGACCTTCGAGAAAGACTCAATCTCCCTGTGACTCACCATTATCATCCCCTTTCCAAAATGTTTTTCTTTCGAGTAGCTTTTTTACCATCTCCCTCTCGCTTACAACCCTTCTCGATCTGCATCCAGGCTCGATTACTAAACACTTTCTGTTCACTGCAGGTACATAACGGCCTCCAGGTTTCTCTGTTGTTATGGTTCAGTCCTACCTCCAGCCTTTACCCCGCCGATCCCTCTGCCGGAAACTCTCTCCCACCCCCTCATCACACTAAACCTGTGGCCGTCAAGTCGATTTCGACTCATAGCGAACCTATAGGACTGAATTGAACTGCCCCATTGGGTTTCGAAGGAGCGGCTGGTGGATTCAAACTGCCAACCTTTTGGTTAACAGCCAAGCTCTTAACCACTACGCCTGACCACAAGCGCCCCCTTGTGCAGGACCAGGACTTTGCCTGCTGGGAACTGAGCATGCAGCCCATTTGGGCTCGAGGATTGGGAGATGCGGGCCGGGAGGCTGGGTCCCTTACCTTAGCCAGGTCCCTCAGCGCGGCTGTCTCCATGGAGCCTATGGGCTGAGCGGGGCCGGGCGCTGCGGTCGACGTGCGGGGATCCGGGCGCGGCGCTCATTACGTCGGCCGGCCGTGGCGCGGGTCATCCCGGATGGCACCGCTGCCGAGCCTCAGACCTGCCTCTGTGTCGTTGGGATAACACCTCCTCGCGCGGCTTCCAGGTCACATCACCAGTGTGCCGACCCCGCACTCCTTAGGCGTGATCTTACCGCCACACCACATATACAACCGGAAAAAGGACGCCGGAAGTCCCGGCCGCATGGGATACTCATGCGCAGAACTTCCCATTTCTGGGTTCCCATTGGCTCAAGCTGCTGCCGTTCGTCGCACAGAAGTCTGGGTAATGTAGTTCCGGCCTCTCCACTCCGACTCCCCAGATCAAAGGCGAAAGTTCACGTGACCGGGCTCTGGAAAATGGCCTCCCATAGGCAGAGAGGGGCTTCAAGACTTACTAAAGGGTCACAAACAGATTTCTGGGGAGTGTTGTCTGCATTCGATCACCAGTATTTAGAGACATCATTTCAGATTCCACGAAGCACATCATGCTCCTGGAGGCTAAAAATATTATTTTAGATGCTTCCCAAGGCTGCAGATCCAAATACACATATCGTTCCATAGAGTTATTCAGATATAAAATGCATTTACTCGGAAATAAATAGTATCTTGTTGTTGAAATGCATGTAGCCTGGTGCAAACGGTTAAGCACTGGTTTAGCGCTTGACTACTACCTGAAATGTTGGTGGTTCAAACCAACCCAGAGATGCCTCAGAAAGCTGGCCTGGAGATCAGCTTCCAAACGGTCAAAGCCTTGAAAACCTTATGGAGCACAGTTCTACTCTGCACACATGGGGTTGCCATGAGTTGGAAACAACTCAAGGATAACTAACAATACCTCACTGTGGGAGAAGCAGGCAGGCTGAGTGAAGCCGACAGCCTCCGGGCACCATTACCAACACCCAACTTGTAAGTAGAGTAGCATGAGCCACCTCCCCTTCTAGCTGGTTTCTCCAGCTGTTTTTTAGGCAAGCAACCAATTTCCTGCCCAAGATAAGAAAAATGAGGCTAAGAGTACAGGCCACAGAACCAGTTAAGACCAAATCTGGCCCACCTGACATGTGCAGAACCATCAACCTATTCTCAGAGTGACCCCGGGACTTTTCTCCCACCGGACAGAACCAAACTTTAGCAGCCCAAGATTGGGGGAAGACTTTCAGAAGCAAAGGGTCCAAGTGTAAATCTGGTTTGAGAGACCTCACCCCACCCTTTTGGACTGAGCAAGCACAGACCACAGAACTGCCCCGGGAACATCTTTTTCGGTCCAGACCAATCAGACATTGCTGCTTCCCGCCAGGACACTTCCCTTAATAAATACTGTTTCAACCATTGTTCAGGGAAACATCTTGGCGATGCAAGGCCTGGTGTACTCCTTTGCTTGGCCAACCAAAAGAAATCTTCTTCTTTCACTTTCACCCATTTTGTATCTCTATTGCCATGCTGAGTGTCGTGGATTGAGTTGTGTCCCCCAAAAATATTTGTCAGTTTGGCTGGGTCATGATTCCCAGTATTGGATGATGGTGTTATCTGATGTGATTTCCTTATGTGTTGTAAACTGTATCACTATGATGAGATTATATGTGATCTCCTTACGTGTTGTAAATTCCATCACTGTGATGAGGTTATACTGACGAGGTTGACAAGATTAGTGTCTTAATGAAATCTCTTTTGAGATATAAAAGAGAGAAGCGAGCAGAGACACATGGGAACCTCACACCACCAAGAAAGCAGTGCCGGGAGTAGAGCACATCCTTTGGACCTGAGGTTCCTGTGCTGAGATGCTCCCAGACCAAAAGAAGACTGACGCATCACCAGAACCTTCTCCCAGAGCCTACAGAGAGAGAAAGCCTTCTCCTGGAGCTGGCGCCCTCAATTTGGACTTGTAGCCTACTGGACTATGAGAGAATAAACTTCTCTTTGTTAAAGCCATCCACTTGCGGTATTTCTGTTGGAGCAGCACTAGATGACTAAGACACTGAACAAGACCTGAGACCCCGGTAACGTGAGGGCTGTGGTTTTCCACTAGTACCGTCTCCCTGACTCAGGAAATATCAGGGCCAGGACTGAAGAGAAATCTGCTATTCATTCCTAGTGCTCCTGGGGAAGGAGCAGGGGATGGCAGAAGTGAGACCCCTGTCCCCAAACAGCACATCCAGTGAAGAACGTCAAACAGTCCTCTGTGCCCTCCACTCAGAAGGGGCTGGTTAATTTTCTTTCCAGCATAGAAAAGCATTGACACACCAAGAAATGTAGATCCAAGTAAACAGAATAACTAGTGTGCTCCTTTCCCCACTGATCAGAAATGTCCTTTGTAAAAGTTTTCATGCTGGCATCTTGTCTTTTTCATGATATATTTTATTGCCATAAATTAGTGTATCTCCATACCAAGGTTTATATTAACCAACAGCTCTAATATCTTCATAGTCTCTCCATTCTCCAGCTGAGTTTGGAGGAGGCAAGCATTTGCCCTAAAACTCAGGGTTGGGAATTCGTGGACTTCACTTGCGATCTCATTCCATATACACTAGGCACAGCTACAAGGGAAACAGAGAATGTAGTTAATGTCCACCAACAAAGGCCCAGGAAGAAGGGGAGAATCCATTTTAGTGGGCAACTTATAGTTTCCAGGTGACGGCAGACCACAGTCCAGGGTTCCTCTCTCCCTCACAGCCCAAACTCAAGCCCCTCTTGTACCTTCTATCAGACTATGGGCTCACCTCTGCCACTAACGCCACTGCAGTGGTGGGGGACACAAGATCCAACATGTGCCTGCGCAGTCACTATACACTACTGCTCCCAGAGAGCACCGTGCACCCTCCGGACTGCAATTCCCACAAGACTTGGTCCTAACCTTTTGACCCCCGGGAATTTAACCTTTAGTCCTACATATGAGCATGTACATAGAGTTATATGATTTAGGAGATAAAACTGGAGCCATTATTCCCTGTCTTTGAGCATAAAGAATGTGATCCAGCTGGAGCTGAACTCAAAAGGACTCACAAGGACTCATAAGGACTCACAAGGAGTCACGAGGTTTCACAAGGACATATCAACTGGGCCCTGAGGTATTAAAACAATAGCTAGGACAATCATGGAAAACATCTTTTAGGGAAACTTTCACATAAACAAATCATCAAACAGCACAAAACACCCACATATTTCCCACTCTTATCTCTTTTCATTGTTATTCTTGTTGTTATGTGCCATCGAGTTGGTTCCGACTCATAGCGACCCTATGTACAACAAAATGAATCACTGCCTGGTCCTGTGCCGTCCTCACAATCATCGTTATACTTGAGCCCATTGTTGTAGTCATTGTGTCAGTCCACCTCGAGGGTTTTCCTCTTTTTCACTGACCCTCTAATTTAACAAGCATGATGTCCTTCTCCAGGGACTGGCCTCTCCTGACAACTTCCAAAGTATGCGAGCCAAAGTCTTACCAGCCTTGCTTCTAATGAGCATTCTGGTTTTACTTCTTCCAAGACAGATTTGTTCCTTCTTCTGGCAGTCCATGGTATAGTCAATATTCTTTGCCAACACCATAATTCAAACGTATCAGTTCTTCAGTCTTCCTTATTCATTGTCCAGCTTTCATGTGCATATGTTGTTGTTGGTGATTGGTGCTGTTGAGTCGGTTGCAACTCCTAGCAACCCTATGTACAATAGAATGGAACACTGCCTGGTCCTGCACCATCCTCACAATCGTTGTTGTGTTTGAGCCCATTGTTGGAGCAACTATGTCAATCCATCTCAGTGAGGGTCTTCCTCTTATATGCTGACCCTCTACTTTACCAAGCATTATGTCATTCTCCAGGGAATAATCCCCCCTGATAACATGTCCAAAGTATGTGACATGTAGTCTTGCCATCCTTCCTTCTAAGGAGTATTCTGGGAGTACTTCTTCCAAGACAGATTTGTTCGTTCTTTTAGCAGCCCATGGTATATTCAATATTCTTCACCAACACCACAATTCAAAGACGTCAATTCTTCTTTGGTCTTCCTTATTCATCGCCCAGCTTTCACATGTACATGAGGCGATTGAAAACACCACGGTTTGGGTCAGGCGCACCTTAGTCTTCAAGATGACATCTTTGCTTTTTGACACTTTAAAGAGGTCTTTTGATCCCAGAATATTTGCCCAATGCAATGCATCATTTCATTTCTTGACTGCTGCTTCC